TGTGTGGGATTTATCATTGATATTCTTGCTTGATATTTGTTCTACTCGATTAAACATTGACCATAGCCACAATGTTTTTTGTTTCTTGTTTTATAAACAAAATCCAAACATGTTTGGTACCACTTTTATTGTAAAATTGAAAAATTAAAATAAGTTCCGATAATGTTTTTTGGTTTTTTTGTGAAGGAAATCAAAATTTGTTTAATAACAACTATATTATAATTATTTTTTATAGGTATTGGTATAATGTTTAAACTATCATTATATTTATAAAATAAGAGAGAAAGATAGGTTAGAGTGTGGGAAAGAAAATTATATATAGAGAAATTTTACCAAGTGAGAAATTTTAGAGAGAAGCAGAAGAGAAATTTGAAATTTTAGTGAGAAAAGTTGAAGTATCAAGAAGAAAAAGTGAGACTAAAGTTTACATTGAGGAACAGAAAATTATTTTTTAAAACTTGGATACTTTTTGTTTTTAAAACGTACTTTCAATTTAAAAAATATTATTCAGAATTTAAAAACTGAAAAGGTTATTAGCAAAACCTTGTTATTTTGAAAACTAAACACGAAATACAGCACCTAAGGTCACGTTTGATTATCGTTTTGTTTTTAAAATTTAAGTCTAGTAGCACTACTACTTTGTGTTTCATTGTTTTGTTATGTACTAAAAAATAAATAAAAGAAAAAAAAGAAAATCTAAGCCAGATTTTCAAAATTAAAAGGTTAAAATATCATTTTGGTTATTGAACTTTCATTTTTGGTTCATTTGGGTCTCTATATTTTTAACTTCAGTTTATTTAGTCTGTAGTTTTAAAATGTTTATTTTGGTTATTGTACTATCAAAATATTGGAAGTACAAGTATTAAAATGAACATTTTGGAAGTATATGGACCAAAATGAACAAAAGTAGAGGACCAAGATAGTATTTTACTAAACTAAAAAAGTAATTTTAAAAAATTTGTTTTTGTTTTTGAAATTTGCCGAGGATTCAAATAGGAAGGTGAAAGAATTCTTTGTGAGAAAAGTATAACTTTTAAAACAACAAAATTGTTATATAGTGACCTAAACCCTTTGTTTTAAGCCTTTATTTTATTCGCTTGTGTATGTGTCCCATATATTTTTTTATAGTACAGAATTTCCATTAGAATGTCAATTTTGAGTCTGCATCGGGTTTGATTAATTGTTGACACTATTGATAAAATATCAAAACATAAACAGATTATATACAACATGTAATTTTGAGTTAAGAGTTAAACATGTGAGGTGGTGATTGAAATGTTCAATTTTTTTCTGACAGTTGGGCTATGTTAAGGCGGCGGACAAAATGAATACTTGAGTATTAAACATTTCATAGCTCATTCCGTTTCTTTATTGGCAGGCCTTTCCAAATTCAAAGTCAGACTTCATGGTTGAGATTGAAAATCTGGTCAATGAGTGGCCTGTGCAAGTTAGTAAGCACCAAAAAGAAGCTCACAAAGAGGTCTAATATCTTACATTATTTATTCATCTCTTTCATCATTCATGAGAAATAAGTTAAACATTTATCTCCTGTTTCATTTCCCAGGAATTTGATGCAGATCTTAAATCTTATATTACTACATTGCTCGGTAGTTTACAAAATGCTGGATTAGAGGTGGACGTAAAGGCAAAAAACTAAATCAGTAGAAGAAGTGCCTTGATTTCAGATGAAATTTCAGCACGATTCGAAAATGTGCTTTTGTAATCAACATATAGTCATGAGCTGAATCCAATTGGGAAGTTGAACCGAGTTTTTTCATTACCAAGACATCGAGATGCTGTGGTTCAAGAGACTCGAGACAATGCCAAGGATAGCAAAGGATGGTCTTTACTTCTCTTTTGAGTTGGCAAACACCATCGAACAAAATTGCTGTTAGTTCTTTGTCCATTTTTTCGACTAGCACATTGGAAACCACAAGAAGATCATGCACCACCTGAATTTTTACAACTGCACAAACTCTAATCACCAATGGTGTGACTTAACAAACTATCTCCCCTTCCCCAACCATATAAAAGGAAATGAAAAAATTGTTCTTGATATAAAGCTTAATCAAATGAGTCCCAACCATTGTTTTGGAAGCAAGATTTTCTTCCTTTTTTCCTTCATCCTTGAATCAACAGCAAGACATATGGTCTTACCAACTGAAGTTGGCTTCACTGCACATTTGATTCACCGCGACTCGCCTTTATCACCATTTTACAATCATTCCATAACAGACACTGCACGGATCGAGGCAACCGTTCACCGTTCTCGGTCCCGGCTCAATTACCTGTACAATCACAAAATGTTTTCAACAGATGCATTAGACAGTGGTGTCTCACTCTCGCCCACATTGGTTCATGAAGGTGGTGAGTACCTCATGAGTTTCTTCATTGGAAATCCTCCAAGTAGAGTGGTGGGGTTTGCAGACACATCAAATGGTCTCATTTGGGTGCAATGCTCAGATTGTAGAAGCCATTGTGAGGCAGAAAAAGGCCACACCAAGTTCAGCTCCTCCAAATCCTCCACCTATGAGAAGGAGCCATGTGGCTCTAACTTCTGCAATTCCTTGACAGGCTTCCAAACCTGCAATTCTTCTGACAAATGGTGCAAATACAAATTGGAGTATGAAGATAATTCAGTCACAACTGGGATTCTTTCATCTGATAGTTTCAGTTTTGATACCTCAGATGGGAAACTTGTGGATGTTGGCTATTTGAACTTTGGCTGTTCAGATGCTCCTTTAGCAGGAGGGTTGCAGAGTTACATGGGCAGTGTGGGCTTGAACCAGACACCCCTCTCACTAATCTCTCAACTGGGTGTCAAGAAATTCTCCTACTGTTTGGTCCCATTCAATTTGGGATCAGCAAGTAAAATGTATTTTGGATCACTGCCTGTGACTTCTGGGGGCCAAACTCCTCTGTTGTATCCCAATTTAGATGCCTATTATGTGAAGGTTGTGGGAGTCAGCCTTGGCAAAGATGAGCTGTATTTGGATGGAGTTTCTGATGTGTTTGATGTAGGGGATGGATGGATCGTAGATTCAGGAATGACATACTCGAGCCTCGAAACAGATGCATTTGATGGTTTGATAGATAAGTTGGTTGCATTTCCAGGTTTACCAAAGAGAAAAGATGACCCTAGAAACAGATTTGAAGTGTGCTTTGCAGGAAATGGAGATGATTTGGAGTCATTACCAGTCGTTACAGTTCATTTTGATGGTGCAGATTTAGTTCTTAGTTTAGAAAGTACCTTTGTGAAGATGGAGGATGATGGAGTTGTGTGCCTTGCCCTTCTGCGCTCTGGATCTCCAATTTCTGTGTTGGGGAACTTTCAGCTGCAAAACTACTATGTTGGGTATGACCTTGAAGCTCAACTTATTTCCTTTGCTCCTGTTGACTGTGCTGAATCCTAACCATCAGATATATATACACACACACACATATATTATAGAGTTTCTTCTCATGTGGCTTTGAGGAATCTTTTTGCAACAATTTATGACCAAATTTAATTTGGTTGGATGTTTCATCAACCCTCTTTGTTCAAAAAATATTCCATTCCTAAACAGACAAGCTTTGCCAAAAATGAGATAAAGAAAATTCAATGGGTCAGGATTTGAGTCCACCATTACTAATTTAATTTCACCTAGTGACTTATATGTGTTTGGGTCAGCTCTCAATGTCTAATAAGAGACCCATAACAAATTTGTAAAAGTCTATAGGTTTATATCCTATTTTGGTTTCGGGATTTTTAGTTTTGGTTTATTTTGGTCATTGTACTTTCAAAATGTTCATTTTTGGTTCATGTATTTTTCAAAATGGACTAATTTGATCAATATGAGCACAACTCATTTGTTGTACTAAAAAATTATTAATTTGGTCTCTATATTAGCAAAATTTCAGCAAAAGAAATTGTTTAATGCAAATTTATTATCACAATTTTTAAAATTTATTGAATGGATATTTTGAAAATAGAAATAATATCCGGAAAGGTTGAAGCCGACCAAGATGGAAAATAGAAATGATAACAACTATAATCAGAACATTGATCTCAGAAACAGAACAGTTTCCATCAAAATAAACCAGTGGAGAGAGAGAAAGAGAGAGAGAGAGATTTGTTGCCAAATATATAATATTATATATGTAGAACCAGAAGATGAACCCAACTTGAACCTGATCAATATTGATCAATAACATTGATTTTAAGCAAAATCCAAATATATATATATATGACCATTGTATTGTATTCTTTCACTTTCTAAGCTGTTTTTTTGTGTAGAAGTATTGAAGATCCCCTCGGAGTAAATAAAAATGGAAGAATCTCGTGAAAATGGAATTTATTACTTGTTTAAGCTCAGGATATCGTTTTTAATCTTCTCTATGGCATTCTCAATGTAACCGTGTACAGAAGCCGTGATTGTCAAACTTAAATTTCCATGGCTGACTGCAACATTTGCTGCAAGAACTTCAGCCTGGTTTCTTTCAAACGCCATTAAAATCTGTGTCACCATACCTCGTCGAACAGAAGCAAGAATCCCAAACAACACGATGTTGCCGGAGGCCGAGACGATAACGCCGCCTCCGCCGGATGAATCCGAGTTCGTACTCGGCGGAATCATCGTCGCGATCACCGATTCCGATGGCAATTTCTTCTTCATTTCCAGCCTCATCAACTGCTTCTCCAGAAAATCGATGAACTGGATCGTTTCGGAAACAATATTCTCCCTCGTGGCCTGATCAATTCCAGCACCAAAACCGGATTAACTAAAATCGCGAACTCAAAATGTAGCAAAATTTAGCGGATCAGAACATCGAGCACCGAATCAAACATTCAACTAACCTTGGGAGAGAGATTGGGGACGAGAGATTGAAGAACATCGAAACTCTGGTTCATCTCCTTCCTCTTCGCTCTCCCTTTCTGTAGACCTCCGCCGGCCTCCAGATCGGCTCTGCGACGCTTTCTCGAGGTGGAAGCCTTGTTGTGATCGGCGGCTTCAGATTCACGGACCGGCAAAATCTGCGTCAAAAGTGGAATGACAGAGTCGGTGCAGGCCTCCATTAGTAGAAGAAGAAGTAGAAGGTTGCAAATCTCCGCGGCGCCGTCTTGTTGGTGTTCATTATTCTGCCATTGATGAGGGTTTTTATGGAGCAATGAAAACAGTTGCAGAATGTGCGTGAGAGAGAGAGAGAGAGAGAGAGATTGGTCTGAAGTGGAAGAAATTTGCAGTTAGAATAATTGTGTGTGCAGTACAGAGCGCAGAGAAGAGTCCATACGATGGAAAATTCCAACTCCCGATTTTACTGTTTTGATTCTCTCTCTCTCTCTCTCTCTCTCTCTCTTCTGCTGTTGATTGTACTTTTCTTTTTCTGTTTCCATTCTCGCCGTCCGATTCGATCAACCATTTGTGATTTGATCACAAATTAGTGGTGCTGATTTCATCTTTCAACCCAGTTCATATGAGTTGAAATGTGTAAATAGTGTTACTTGGGTTCTTTTACCACTTGATTGAACCGTTCATTGGTCGGTTTCACCCTAAAACCGATCATTTTTCAAAATTGACATATATTCTTTCTTGATTGACTTGTTATTTCGATCATGATTGTACACTCCTGCGGGTTAATTTTAGTTTTAGTACTTTCAAAACGTCTATTTTGATTTGAACAATTTCTTTTCATTTTTATCTCATTTATTCCGATCATAATTTTAGTTTAACACTTCACTCACTGAAATTTCTTGAAATGTATCCATAAATTTGTATAAAAAAATTGGAATTTTTCCCTTCTCTGCACTTTGTTTTCGTTCATTTTTTTTTCATTTAAAATAGAAAACATAAACTCATAAATTTCCATATTTTTATTTGTTTCCTCCATGATTTCAACGACTCACCAACAATTTCAGCAACTTTTCAACACGACTAAGTCAACATTCTTGCATTCTTTAGCATTCGATTCAGAGGGTATGATTCTATTTTGGAGCTATGATTTCAACTTCATTTAAGATATGTTGTGTTATATTGAATATTAATATACTGCCATATATATTATATGGTAATATCTGCTATATTATTAGTGTAATGTAAAAAGATAACAAAGCCCTCCAAATAAAAATATGAAATATGAGGCATATATTTGCTAATGTAATAGTTAGTAATTTAATTTTGGGTAGGAAAAATAAATATTGGGTATATTGTGACGTGATGGTAAGAAGTTTGATATTGGCATGGAAAATATATATTGGGTATATATTTTGCTACACGAACAACAACTATTAAACAACAACAAAGGTTCGTTTATGCATGTCAATAATCGATATATATTTATACATAATTCAATCAATGTTTAGAGAAAAAGAAAAAGTTAAGAAAAAGAACTATCACGTGAAATGTATATATGATGAGGAAATGGAACAAAAATCATAGGAAAAATGTAAAAATAATTGGTGGAAAGAATTTACTTATATTTTTTTAAGTGCAGGTTGCTGTGAAGTAGAAAATGGAGTACATGTTGACAAAGAAGTTGAATGAGTGTCGTGAATAATACAGAACTGTGTATTTAAGGTTCTGTTTGTTAATATTCTCATTTATTGTTTCCTTTTTTTTTAACACACAAAATAACTGCATTTGTAACTATTTTTATTTATTGAAAAAATAAAGGAAACTTGATTATGTTGGAAATGAAAATAAGAAGCAATATTTTTTTCCCCAAAATTTCTATACAATTTTAGGAATATTTCTCGAAAAACAACATACATCAATATTATCCAACGGGCTTTTATGCGTTTTACCCATAAAAATATTTTTATAGAGGGCCCAGAGCCCATTTATTTGGGCCTCTTTTGCAGGTCCACAACAGCCAACACAACTAGCGACATAAATACCACGGCTCCAGCAAGAGAGAGGACGGTAGAAACTGCCACGTGCTTGCAAAACCTACCAAATATATCGCACACTTTGTTCCACATCACGTGCGAGTTGCCGTGGTAGCCGATCATTCCGATAGCCATGGCAGCCCCGCCACCGGAGGAGAGTAGCGCCACCATCACGGTGTCGAGAACGATGAGCAATAAGATTGACGTATTACTCTGATTCTTATTTGTCAATGTTAACAATAGTGATAACAATCCATATGAACTTGTTATTATATCTACCGCAAAAAGATACCTTAAAGAAAAAAAAAAGCACTTTAGTGTTTAATAATTATGGTTAAATTATAGTGTACTAAACTTATAAGAAATATTTAAAAGAGATCTTACCATTTGAAAAATAAAATAAAATATCATATTCGACCTAATTAAACTATTCTCTGAAATTAATTTGAGTTGAATTAATACTAATTTAAAATCTATCAATTTAGAGAATATTTCTTTTTATTTATTTTAAAATATATCCATTCTTCTACAACTTTTTTTTTAAACTAAATGGTTCCTATTCTTCATTATTGATTTTTTTTTATATAAATAAGATATCATATTGAATTGACTTTACTATACTTTTTAATATCTTTCACAATTTAGCAATAAAAAATCAAAATAATTGGAACCAACTTAACCCAGTAAATATGGTTTGGTTCAATTAAATCAAATTTATCGTTTAACAAAGTTATTTGGAAGAATTAAAAATATCTTAATCATAGTGGTGGGAGTTCGTGAGTATTATTGATAATAACTACGAACCAACTTATTTGTGAGTACTAAAAAAAAGGTAATAGCCATTGGTCCACCTAGCTTTAGCCACGACGCTTTTTCATTGAAAAATACTTTTGATAATTATTTTTGTTTCTTAAAAAGTTATTTAATGTCGACTTTTCATAATTTTGGATAGATGTATAATATATATATCCACCGCAAACTTTTTTTCCTCTGAGTAGAACATATTGAGAAGGAGATTCAAACGCACAACCTCGTGTATGCCAATTACCGTTGAACTATGCTTGCTTTGGCAAACTACAAACTTTCATGGTAGCCGATTAAAACATATATATATTTTTTTAAAAAAAAAATTTTTGAATTCTCACCTCCATATGTTAAACTAATATGTAAAAAATGATAAAATAATATTTTTAGAATTAAAAGACTTAGGTATTGACGGAAAAATTTCTAATACTACTAGAGTATCATTCTCCCTTTCATTTACTATTTGCCACATTAAAATTTATATAAATAATGTGGGATCTATTTTTTTATATTTGTCGTGTAAATGAAACGGAGTATGATACTCCCGTAGTACTAGATGTTTTCTTGATACGCATTGTGCTACTGTTCGTCACGTAGCTCGCCTTCTCCATTTTCTCTCTTTTAAGTACCTTATCTGTAGATTTTTATCCCTTTTTTTTCCAATTCTTTTAATTCTGTACAACGCAAATGGTTTCCATTTCACAAAATCACAAATACCTCTCCATGGTTCATTTATCTTTTTATTTTCTTAATTTACTGCATTTTTTTATCTAAATTTGTTGCATCTCTCTCTTTTCTGTTTATTAATATCAGTTTGTTGCTTTGGACCTCCAAATTTAATTGAAGATAAAAAGCAACAAATCTTTTCGAGAGGTATTTGTGATTTTGTAAACTAATTGGATACAATAATTTAAGTTTGCAGTAAATTTGAAAAAATTAAAAGTGGAGATGAGGGATGTCAAGAGAAAGACGGTAAGAGGTGACCAATCGGTACTTAAGTTTTTTCAATAATTTTATTATTTAATCAGAAACATGAACGTTATCAAACAATCTTTAAAGAAAACGGTATAAGTAAACACAATCTTAAAAGTTGGAAGGAAGAGATAAAAGAGACTTACACGAAAGCGGACAAGTAGTGCCACTTGGCAGAAACAACAAGGTCCAAAGCAGGAATCACCTTGGTCTGTTTGTCCAGTCCCACAACAATGGCTGCCACAAAACTCAACACAAATCCCAAAACCCTAAGAACCACTTCTAACTTCACACCACCACTCATAATTAATTACTATTGATTCTCTCTTCTAATTTCTCTCTCACTACACCCACCACTCAAAACCCTCTTCCCCCATTGTGTTATATATACACACACTCTTATGTAGTGTTTGGATGGTGGGAAAGTGTGGAAGAGAAAGTGTGGGAAAGTGAGAGAGAGAGATTTAAGAGGTGGAGGGTGGGGCAAGTGAGGGTTATGGTGGATTAATTAGAGGAGTAATGAGAAAGAAGGTGTAATATGAGTGTCATTAATTAGTTTGGATTTGTTTCATATACAAATATTAAAGTGGGCTAGAGAGCTAACTTTTCTAACTTATTAATTAAGTGGGGTTTTCTTTTAACCTAACTATAGAATGACAAAGTTCTCAAAACGTCAAAAGTGGTTGATCCAAGCGAAATCAAGATAAGTTAGTGAAATCAGGTTATTAAATTTCTGTCGACACGTCAACGTTTTTAGCGATATTTTTTATGTTCATGGTTTTGACAACGACATGAGAGGTGACTCGAGCTTCAGATCAATGTCTTCAAAAGCAAGGAGTAAGCCTCCATGGTTCAACGAGAACACCAAAAGAATTGAATTCAACTCCACTTAAGATAGTCAAAGTATTGGTTCCCCATAGTTTTTATTTGATCTATGATGCATGATGATGTAAAATGTTTATTAGTTATATTTTTTTTATTTTTGTTGATATTTTCATCAACATTTTCATAAATTAAGTATTTCGTTCGATATCTACTTTTAAAATATTGTTGCGAATTAAGTCTAAGTTTAAGGTAGCATCGTTGGCCACTGAAGAGAGATTTTGGGTAGGTAATTTATTATTTATTCAGAAAGATGATGTAATTTACCCATTAACTTTTTTAGAAAAGTTATTTTGGATAAATGGTTTTTTCCTTTACATTTTGACTCTATTAAATATGATTAAGTAGGAAATAAAAGCGAACAACTAATACGTTTCACTTATCGAACAAGATTCTATGGTCGGTCCGAAATAGCCTGCATAAACTTGTCTTGGAAAGATAAAATAGTTTGTTTGGGGCAATTCATTTCAAACTTTTATAATTGTTGTATTGTGTGCAAAATATTTTTCCTTTTTCCATGCTCGTGCATTAATTTGTTGTCCAATGCTTTTTTACCACACAAGTCTTTCTACACGTTTATTTTACCTTTGATTCTGACTTTCACTGTAAATTTTGAATTTCATCAAATTGAATGATAATTTTACATCATTTTCTCTTAGTTCAACTTTAATTTTATTTAGCCACTAATTTTAGCAAAAGGTAAGGTAAAAATCTCCCAAAATTTACTAGTTCCAACCAAAACCAAGCATTTAGCATGAAATCAAGTCTAGTTAATACATGAGATCGACCATCAAACGAATCTCTCGTAAATTAATTACAAATTTCAATAAAAATCCCTAGTTCTATTGTTGTTTTTCTCCATAGTCGCATCGATTTCGTAATATACGCATGTTTTACCACTAATTGATTGCACAAGTGAAGAGGCTATATAATTTTTAACGATTCTTCCCAAAAAAACATAGGTTAAAGATGAGAATTTCGACACTTAAAAAAAACAAAAATTGCAACACTTACAAAGTTTGATAAAATTGAAAGTTTAGATAAGAATCGATGCACGTTGCCAAATAAGTTCAATTCAAGTTCATGCGTTTTTACGGATTTTCTTTTAAAGAAAACTAAAGTTGCTTTTGGTTGGTGATTAAAAAAAATATCTAAAATAAGGCTAAAAATGTGTTTTAAGTAGTTTTTAATATATGTTTTGGCAATAGATTTATCTCACTTTAATAAATTATTTAAAGGGTGGTTAGTAATATATTTATAAACTACCGGTAGTTACCGACTTAAATATTTATTTATATTTCAATCTAAGATCTTATTTATTAATATATATGTTTTAAATTTTATATAAATATTGTTATTTTACAATATTATATAATTTATAATATACTATGTTTTACATGTTTTAATTTTAAGGATTTTTTAACAAAAATGAAATGATTTTATAACCTGAAAAAATATATTTATCAAAATTCTTATTTTTTTACTTGTAATTATGTATTTTAAAGTTTCAATATAGTAAAGGTTGTTTTCAGAATTTCTACTCTTTGAATCCTAGAATCCAAAAAACATAATCTAAATTGCACACCAAACAGACTCTAGATGATCACTTAAAGAAAAAACTATAAAATTTTTTCGATCCACGTAAAAAATATCTAAAAGTATTTCGCTCAAATTTTGAATTAAGCAATAATTCTAGGACCTCTCCCGACCAATATATATCAAACAATCAAATTCTTTATCATTTATAATAGAGTTTGGCACTCCATTTTTCAACATTATTTTCCTTTTTTGAGTTTAACGATTGCAGCGTAAAAAGATTGAATCGCTAACTATTGAGATGATAATAAATGTCTTAATCAGAACTATGCTCGAGTTTGCACTCTACTCCAACTCATGATATATTTTGTTGTGAGAGAGTAAAATGAATGCATTTTATTTTGAGAGAGAAAAAAAGGGGGCAATAAATAGGCTTCCAAATTCCAAGCTGTGCAGCTGTTGCATTTATTGAATTGGAGGGAGAATATAGATGTTTGAAAAATAAAAATAATATAAAAAGAAAAAGATAATCATTACTTTACCAAACTTGCCGACCTAAGTATAGTGTTCAAATAAATATTATTAGTTTTTCTCTCTTTTTTGTAGTGCAATATTTAAAATAGGGAAAAATCAACAGCCAAGCTAAGGTTCATTATGAAAATATAGTTAAGGGTCTTTGTCGGGATAAAATTTAATTGGTTTTTACGTTTTAATATTGTGAACTTACCAACATTAATTTTATATTGATTAACCTTATTAAAATATGATAAAAAAATATTGAAGTTAAATTACAAACTTAGGCCATATGATTAGGACAAATTTTGATCCCTATAATTTTAGAAATTTCAATCTAACCTCTACCGTCTTAAAATTTCATTTTAGCTTCTGAGAAATAGTCTGTGAAGAACTAGTAAAAGTGGATAGTTTTTTTGTTATATTAATTTTTATAGAATAATTTTAAGTTAATCTTTTGATTAAATTAAATTTAACAGGGCATGTCACTATGAATAGAGAAAAAGAAATTTAACGTTGCAAAGTTATTGTTTTGTTACACCAAAAAGAGTTACAAGTAATTAAGTTACCCTAATTAATTCATTGTTTAAATTAATAAAATATTAAATTATGGGGTGTTTATAGATACTATTCTTTTTAGTGAAGATAGTTTTCAGGGCAAAGAAATAATGGAAAAGAAGGTTGAAATTTGAGGTCATTAATAATTAGTATTGTCCTTTCAAAATAATAATAATAATAATAATAATAATTAGTATTGTGCTCCCATTATTTCTATTATTAACAATATATAGAAGTATAGTTGAGCTAAAAATAATAGTCTATTTCTGAGCTAAAAAGCATAGTTTATGTGTTTGGTATTCCGATGAAAACAAAGAGATCATTTGACTCTTTTGGTTCACAAAATAAAAATTAGTTTACATTAACACCCATGTAATAAAAGATAGAGCCACTTAAGTTATTAGTTATAATTGTTATCGGTAAAATAAAGCTTTAATCTAGGAATAGATTAAAAAAAAAAGTCATCTTAAATCAATTAAGATCCTTAGAATTATGCTAAAGCGAACATAGTTTAACGGTAATTGGTATATATCTTTAACTAAGAGGTTGTCTCGGTCTATAAAAACTATATTTTCTTCACTCTTGATATGTTCATTGAGAAGTTGCATGATAAATCGAAGGCACATTGAAATTACATTCATATTGTTACGTGTGCTCATCCTAAATCAATATTCACCAAATTTAAGATTTTTTTACTCTCTTTTATAAATAATATATTTTTTAGTAAAAAAAGTAGGGTGGAGATTCGAATTCACGACATTTTGATCGAAAATAGATACCTAAACCGATAAATAATTCTTGAAAAGAGATAAATATACTACATGCATATATAGTCTAGTTTAGTTTACTCAAAAAATAAAAACAGAAGGGAAAAGGAACAAAAAAAAATCTACCTTAGCTGTTACGAGTGTTACAAATAGCGTGTTCAAGTGGGCTGTTGTGAGGAAGTTTAGAAACAGGGCCAAAGCCCATTTAAATGGGCCTTAAAGAAGTTAAGAAACAGGCCCAAAGCCCAGACCATTTATTTGGACCTCTTGTGGAGGCCCACAGAAGCCAACACAACCAGCATCATGAATATTACAGCTCCAGCAAGAGAGAGAACAGTAGAGGTTGTCGCTTGCTTACAAAATCTACCATATATGTCGCACACTTTGTTCCACTGCACGTGTGAGTTCCCGTGGTAAGCGATAATTCCGACAGCCGCTGCAGCTCCGCCGCCGGAGAAGAGCAGCGCCACCACAACCGTGTCGAGAACGACGACCAATAAACCTAAAATAATGTTGTTCTTGTTCTTGTTTGTTAACAAAAAGAACAGCGATAGCAACCCATACGAACATGCTATTATGTTTGTCGCTAAAAGATACCTAAAAGATTAATTGAATAGTGTTAAATACATAAACAGACTAGATCGGTATATTCAAGTAGTTAAAAGTATATATTATCAACTAAAAGATCGTGGATTCAAATCTCCACTCTCACACATTGTTGTACTAAAAACATACAGTAATTTGACCATATTCATACCTTTAGTGATTATATGAAAAATAGTAACTCGAAAAAAATGTTTATAAATTATTCAAAAATATATATTTTAAAACACATATACAATAACCAAATTTGATGATTTGAGAGTATGTATGATAATCAAAACTAAAGATAGAGGGACCAAAATAATATTTAAATAATAATTTATATAGATCTAAGTCGCGTGAATTATGTAAAATAACTATTACTACGTAAAATTGGAAACAAACCATTTATTATTATCAACTCACTCATTCATTATGAAATTATATTTAAAATATTTCACATTATATTTAATATCAAATTGATATAGACAAACTTGATGCTTATTTTTCAACCCAAAAAAAAAAAGAAAAAAAACACACACACACAAAGAAAAACAAAAAGAAAATCCTTATCACTAAATTTGAAAAATTTTATATC